GACTATCGACCCTTTGTGCGGCGAGGCGACGACTAACACATCTCGCGTGGCCTACGAAGCTAAAATGCTCGAGCGCTTTGACCAGACCTAACGCCATTCCAGGCGGTGCTGACTACTAGAGACTGGCTAGATCACAGCGGCCCGTTTCCGGACGAGGTCGCCCGCATTTGGCATGGCAGCTGTGCCTGTCTCAGGCCATAAGTGAGTCGAGCCAGCACCGATGTAATAAGGGACCATTTCCCGTCCTTTCTCACGGTCTGTGGAAAGGCCGTGCTTGGAAAGGCCTGGACGCCTGGATAGCGACGCTAAAGAACCCAGGTTGTCGGGAACCAAAGAGAGGGCTTACCGAGACATTCTGAGGTCGCCGTTAGTCCCAGTCATTCAGGACAAAAAACATCCCTCTTCGCGAACACCCATCGTGCTCCTGGAGCTATGGCCATTGCCCAAGATCAAAAGGGGATTCGCCGTGGCGGCAGCCCTTGGAGCTGTGCCTCTTCTAGAACGGGGCCTGAAGCCTCGTCGAGTTCAGGCGTCTTTCTCGCCAAATCTACAACGCTAATGAAGTCTGCAGACTCGCGCCTTTGACGTCGACCTCACAATCGCCGGATACGATGCTGACAACAAGTCGAAGAGATGGCCATTGGAAGGCATCCTCGGACAATAAGCTGAAGAATTCCCGGATGAACAGAACATGTTGCCAAGAGCCCATAGATCCAGTCTGTTCTCTTGACGGATTAGCTATGGATGCACCGAATAGTTGATGACTAAAACCGCGCCAGTGGCCCCTGGATTGCCGGGTTGCGCAAAAACAAGCTTCCAGGGGACTCGTCTTTGGTCGCGGCTTCATAATTCAGTGATAGGCTATCATCACTCTGGCCATCAAGGCTGAACAAGTAGCCGGTTTTTCTTTGCATGGCAGGCGTTGACCAATTGTGACGGCAAGATGCAGACAAGCTGGTTGAAGCTGACAAGAATGCCTCGTCTGAGTCATCTCGTAAGAAAGCTTGGGGACAAGCGTCAGTATCAGCAGGCAACGAGGAGGGGAAACTCAAACTGGAGCAGGCAGAAGCCTAGTCTAACGAAGCTACATATATCTGAGGTCGTACAGCTTTTGGGCAAGTATTCCATCGCCCAACTTCGTCGAAGTCCCACCCTGAACCATTTCGTCAAATTTCAATCAATACTTGCGTGCGACATCCGACAGATTTGCACTGTACAACCCCGCACCGCCGAGGAATCTACCAAAACAATGAGCGACGATAACGCAAAGTGGGAGCCCTCGAAGCCGGCCTCATCGAGCTGGGACGAGGCGCGCATCATCCCCGCAGATGGGTGGGAGCGCATGAAGAAGGGATTTACACCACAGGATATGGACGACCGCTGGGCCATTGTCCACCTCGAGAAGGACGGCGAGGAGAGCGTCGTCTTTGCCCGGAGTTGGACTGGATACACTCTGGGCAAGATCACGGTCGAGCCTGCAGGAGATGATGGCAAGAGCCGTCGGATAACCAAGTTTACATGGGAAACAGACAAGGAGAGATGGAATGTCGAGGATCCAGAGACGGAGGCAAGGGACTTGGTTGTGAGGTTCTCGAAGGGTGTTTTTCAGGTTGACTTGGCGGATGAGCCTGCCTCTGAGTAGGACAATCAGCCGAGGAGAACATGGATCAGCTGATCAGCCGTCAAACCTGACTGGAATTTCACGAATCAAAGAATCTTGATCAAATGATAGCTAGTCCTATCGAATACGTTCAAGAGTTGATAGAGGTGATGTGCCTTCATATTAGGAACCCAAGGGTGTCCGTGTAAACCGCCCTTCCCCATCGCCCGCCTCAATGAAATGACTTCCAAAGCATGCATGTTGTGGATCCCACGACAAAAACACGGATGTGGAACGAGCTAGCTACATATAGGGCCTTTTGCGTCTTCCCGGCAACAATCCCGGTGTTTCCCGAGCACCAACATCCGCATCTGTAGTGTAGTGGTTATCATCCTTGCCTTCCATTCTGACACCTGGTTAGCAAGGGACCCGGTTTCGATTACCGGCGGATGCATCACGCTGATGATTATCCTTTTGCTTTTTCTCTGCATTTCTGAGTCTGTTGTTGAGCTTTTTACGAATTCTCCCAAGTCGCTCACAGGAACACCCTAGTCTAGGTATATATAAGCATAACTAATTATATGCATTCGGCTGAAACCTTTTGATGCATGCCATCATACATTAGAGTTTCGCGGTCAATGAGGTGTAAAGCAGGTTGATATTGGGAATACAGGTCCCTGCAAGTGCAAGCACACTGTAAAGCTCGATCGTTGGACGTGAGGGATGTGTTTCTATTGTTCTTTCTTGAACTCATACTGACCGCCCAGTATTCGCATTCATCTGTAGGCTTGTCCCTATGTGCTTGCCGTTCGAGTCATTCCAAATCGCTCGAGAAGAAGAAGCCAAGTAGAGAGAGGTGAGTCGAATCCTGTATCTGACTACAGGACTCCAAAAAGGACTTGCAGTAGGTAGCCGAGTGTATACGACTCTGCAGGCGATAGAAGCAGGCTGGGACAGAATCGAGCATCCACGTCGTGATCTTTGCCCTCTTGAGGCTGCCTTGGTCCGTCGGCCGGCTCAAATGTTCATGAATGCATACACGGGCGCACCAGTACAACAAAACGCGGCCGAATCAAATGATATCCCAGATTACATCCGTGATTTTCCGCCCATATGTGACACTGGTCTTCGGATCTGATGCCTCTTACCCCGTGCCGGGTATTTGAGTTGCATGCGGCACGGTTAGACCGACCTTCCCGAAGAAGTGAGGGTCACAGTGCATATGAACCGTCACTATCGCCATGCATGAGTGAGAAGGGATAAGAGACAATTTCATGTTGTCATCACACGTGTTGAGATAGCCGGTTGCTTATGTGAATTAATGTTACAGTGTTGTCCCCTTTGTGGAACATTATCCAGCTCAATATCCTACTAGGTGGCCAGTCAGAATCATCATTTCCCCCAAAGGCTTGTCCTGATGACCTTTTCCGAAGCCAAGAAAGGCACCGCCAATCCAGCTACATCTTCATGCAAGCCGTGCGTCTTGACTTGGGCCCTGAACCTGCCCATAATCTAATTACATGTTTCGCCTGGGCCTATAGACTTGGCCAGATCAAAGTACGGATAGTACTTTGAGAGCTTGCTAGAACCCAAGTTACAGCGGCATGAGACATAAATTAGGTACATGCGCAATTGGCTCTACAGGAAGTTGCTTCACTGTAAGCTCTACGATGTCGCTTGAATCGGGTAGACACTGGCATAACTCGTACACTGTATTGAGCGCCAACTGACGATCGAAGTATGGCTTGGACAGTCTCAAAACTATCAGCCTGGACGCCAACCGCACATGGTCATCAATTTCTCCTGTTTAAGACTGACTTGAAAAATGATACTTCTTTAGCGAGGCCCGAGGCCACTTTGTCAGGTTTCTCACAATACCATAACAGAGGGGAGTTCACCCGCAGGTGGCAGGTGCCACAGAATCTTAAGCAGGCTATACGGACATACCAAGAAATGACTCGATACCCTGGAGCATAGATCATGCGCGACTCCGAATATTGGATGCAAGTCAGCGCAAGTATGTTAGCCGGAGTCAAGAAAGGAAGCTGTTCTAGGTATGGAATGCAAGTCAGCGCCGATATTGGAACTTCCGTAGCTTCGTCCAGACTGGAAACGGCAACTTTGGGGTGTTCGGTCTAGACTCAAGATCCAATTTTTGGGGGCTCAAAGTGGTATTGGTCGCGATGAGATCTTTTCCAAGAAAAGTTAGTGAAGATGAGATCTTGGGAGGTATATTAACCTCTCCGTGTCACACCCATTTCCCTTGAGTACCTCATCATCCACAGCCAGCATCTGCTCTTACAGTTTCAAGCATAGTCTCTAGCCTCTTTGATATTTCCCACTATCTCTGTCAACGACCAAGCCGAAATGCAGTCCGTTCTCACCATCGCCACCCTGATCACCGCCGCCTTCGCCGGCGTGATCCCCCGAGATGAAGACAACGGACCCGTCAACATCCCCGTCGACAGCGTCGGCAACCCCAAGGGTGATACGGTTCAGGCCATCACGCACTTGTACATCTGTTCCGACGCCAACTTCTCCGGCCGTTGCCAGAACTTGGAGTCCAACACCGGCCAATGCTGTAAGTTGCAACTCATCTAGGGTGTGATCACGGCAAGGAATGGGAATTATTGCTAAAGTCAGGCTGCATCTAGACGATTTGGGCAACGGCTTCAACGACGTTGTTTCATCGCTTGGGCCTGATGCGGGAACTTCTTGCACTATCTGGGAGTAAGTGTTTCTTAGTACTACGCATGCCCTCTAGCTATTCTGAACGACTCATTTCACTAACACACCTACAGGAACGCTGGATGCACGGGAGCCTCCATCGTCAATATTGTCAACCCTGGCATCTACAATCTCGCTGACTCCAACTGGAACTTCAACGACAAGAGTACGTACCCGTGCATGCTTGTTAGCTTCCACTCAAGACTAGAGAGAAACACGTTCAGACAGATTGCTGACTACTGCCTTTGCTGCTAGTGAGCTCCTACCGGTGCTTCTAGTTCCGGGTTACGCACCTTATCCAGCACCGACGATCCAAAACTACGGCCACTCTGAGGCGGATGACAGATAGCTTTAAGCGGTGCCGAGTGTCGAGTTGCAGCATAATATGGTTCGAGGACACGTTGCAGCTACTGGAGTATTCTTTTCTCATGGTAGAGAGTTTGAAGGGCATATAAGGATAAGAGATGAGAAGTAGGCCCAAAGTTGGTTTAATGGTTATACGAAGTCATCTGGATCAGTGTCTGCCAAACCGTTCACAAATGTCGACTCTGTGATAATGGTAAAAAACTTACAAACAACCCCATTTCGCATCTCAGTAAGGGGAACGCAAGCGGCGAGCTCAAAGCTTTGCAAAACCTCAGTCAAAGTTAGGCGATAGTCCGAAGCTATAGCTTCAGACCCAAATCAAAGGCATGAACCCGATCGTTGATTTGCCCTTTTTGTAGTCATAGAATGACTGCTCACACTCCATGACTTGCAAATCGTTCTTCTCCATATACCCCTTCAAATCCTTCAAAAGAGCATGATCAACCTGCCCGAACTTGATCATAGTCGTTCCGCTGCTCTCTTCTTCCTTGTCCTCGTAAAACGGTTCTGTTGTATTGCAGACCACGTCGAGGCCAACGTGTTTGCCCTTGCTATCTCTAGCATGAATAAGCATAACGCGATCGAGTGATTTGGACGGGAGAAAGATTCCGTGGAGCTCAGAGGTGAAGAGAATTCCTTGGTCAAGCAATTAAAACGCTGTTATATTAACTTAATTAACTAAAAGACTTAATATGAAGAAGAGAGAAATAAAATAATAGGTAAAAGCTATAAATAAATATCAAAAATCTTCGAGAGTCCTCCTCCCTATACCGGTTCAATCGGATCTTTTCTTGGGATACGTGCTATAAGGTAGCTATGACGGACTCTGCTTGGGCCCAATCGGTGGTTCTGCGCAAAACGCCGTCGGCATCCCACTTAGTTGCAAAGGGCAGGATTTCCAAATAATCTGTCGGTTTCCAAGGCGCACGCATATTATTTCTTTGCACAAGCCACCGCCCTTACTCTACTTAGCCATCCGCCTTCTAGTGTCTGACTCGTGCGTTATGGCGATTGACACCGCTCTTGATTCTACTAGGCAGTAGGTTGTGTCCTTCAACTAGAAGGCCCAGTTGCTAGAACTCTCTTCAGATGAGCCGACGGGAGGTGGCCCGCACTCTTCAAAAACAATTTACATCTAACGTCGGCTTCGACAACGCCGTTGAACAAACTTTGCCTTCATATTAGCTCCGACATTGATAACTTACTTGGACCACTTGGGTTCCAGTCATGCTAAAGATAAAAAGCCCGCCATATCTGTCACGAGAAGAGGTAGGTCACACGAAATTACCTACCAGCATTCAAATCCTCACTTCCATCCGAGCATTACATACCGAAGATAGACGGAATTATAGAGACAACACCCAGTCACAGTAAAACTCGGCCCAAGTCACAAAATGAAGGCTGCCATCTTAACACTTCTCGGCGCGCAACTCATTGTAGCCGCCGAAACTACATGGTGCTGGGGCGCCCATAGATCAAATACTCAGCGCGTTAGCAAAGGGGATGTCGAATGGGCTTTGAGACACCGCACCACCGAGTTGGGCTTCCCCGGCGGCCAGACCATCTCCTGGAGATGGATTCAGTGCACCGAAACCGACGAGTACAAGTCTATGGATGTTGCTGTTGTCACTACACCGCGCAGTAAGAAACTAAGTCATACTTATCTTTGAAACCATACCAGAACTGATCTTGAAATAGTTGTCACCGACGGAGCTCATACTCAGCTTGCCAATGGACAGGTGATCTGTAGAGTAGGCGGGGAGTACTTTAAATGCTAGAGGAAGGTGTTTTACCTAGGGGCTTTATCGTGTTGCGGCCAGCTAGTCGTAGTGAGGTATGTTAGCAGAAGCCGAGGCTGCGGGTACCAAATAGTGTCGTGGTCGTGATAGCTTCCCTGAAGCTATATGCTGTAAGTTATAAGGCTTCGGTAGTTAATCGTAATCTTATTAAAGGGGTTCTTAGTAAAGATAGTTGAAAGTGATCGTAAGATTGAATACTAAGTTGATTTCTAAAGAAGCTATAGAAGTCTATTCTCAAGCCCGGCATAAGTCCATCCTATATATAAGTCCTGTTCCTGAATATATATTTTCTATGGTTCGCAGGGGCAGAACACCATCCATTTTGAAGTCGATACATGGGCCCGATAACTAGACAGACTTCATCCAGCTCATTCAAGACGTAGTCGCGTTTAATGGCTGTCTTTTGATGCCACTGTTTATATTGGTCGTGAAGTGATAGAAACTCGTCCATTGTAAGGTCGACGTAAAAAGCAGGCTGAGAAAAATCGTGTGTTTCAGGAGGGCTAGAGTCTAGAGCATATGAGCTCAGGGCTGTCAATGCCAAGATAAAGATGGCTTTGAAGAAAAACATGGAGATTGAAGCTGCAGTTACTAATGTGAGCCAATATTAATAACTGAAGATAACTGTGCGCCCGGTGATTACGTTTAGGCCTGAGCGTCTAAGGTGAACGGACATTTGTTTGATCATTTACTTACATTCTGCGGAAGCCTGCTGTCGTCTCTGGGCTGGAGGGATCAGCATCCCTCCGGCCACCCTGCGCCGCTACCCGGGGTTTCCTCTCAGGCACGGCCCAACACCAACCAGAATCCAATCAAGCGCCCAACGTCCCTTGCAAACCTTCCAGGTCCGGTAAGTGGAGCAAGACTTCTGCGAACCCTGAAATTCGGAATGGAGTTGTACAAGACTCCGGTGGGCGTCAAACCTTGGGAGACAGCAATTGACTAGAAGTCAGGGCATACTGAGGTAGTAGTGGTTGTCCTGGTCATATGGTAGGCCTTTAACGACAGCTCCGCACAAGTCACTATCTGGATCCTGCCGGGCCGACTTGTCAGGCGAAGAAAACCACCAGATATCTTCGTCATCGGCAGTTGGTGGAAATTTCGCTTCCCATGCAAACGTCAACTATCATCGTACTTGACCAACGGGTAGCGGGCACCATCAAGATGGAAGCTGCAAAGGTCTTCATTATATAAGAATCTGACGGAAACTTCGTGGCTGAAAGTCTACCCCGGAAATGTGAACAAATATTGACAACCCGGATCGCCGGGAAGTCCTTAAGACCCCCTAGACCTCCTTCCCACCTCATCATCAAACGTGTAATCGCAAAACTGCAACATACGCCACTCATTTGAACATATTATAACAATGCGTCTACCTAATCTTCTCGCTGTCGCGATGCTCCTCGGCCTCGGCGCCACCGCCGCCTTGCCCGTCGAAGATGTCACGGACATGACAGACTCCGAAGACGTCGCAAATGACGCAATGGCGAAACCACCTCCGCACAAAGTAGAAAAGCCATGGATGATGTGGGGTGTAAGAAAACCACCAAACACCAGCAAGGCCATAGTGAGAACTAACGATGATGTTAGATGTGCGCTATAGCATCGAACCAATGCATCATTCACGGGCCTCACGGTGAACGCAGATACCAGTGCAAGAACTTTGTTCGTACCCACCTTTTTGTTCCGACTTACTCCCCGCGATGTCTGAAATGTAGAGGGAGACAGCTAATGGTTTCCCGCTGTGATAGTGTACAAGGGATGGGGGCACGTGTCGCGGACAATATACGACAACACCACGCATTAAGACTAGGTCCCATTGCAATTAGGCGCTTTTGAGGTCGGGTCTGATGTGGTGTCTTTCTTTGAGGTTGGGCTCGGCCGGTGCTCAGCCATGGAGGTCGTCAACTTGAGCCTAGATGGCGGATACGGAGCAGACGCGATATGTCAACCGAAGATTGTCTAGTCAACGAATATTTGCACGTTTGATGATGGGGTGGGTGAAGCACATGCCGTCAAGTCTCATCGTTTCAGCATTGGAACATATGTTGAGTCTTCATGTCTCTTAACCTTTTCGAGACGCGAGACCTACAACATTCAGTTGACTTTGGGAGAATTTAGGTGCTTGGATATGATTTCATTACTTGTTGTCAACCTTGAGAGGACTCTGCTTCCGTGTATCCTAGGAGAATAACATGGCGAAATTAACCTCCGAACCCAATCACAATTTGACGTTGGGAATCTCAAACGTCTGCACCATCTTGGTCTCAAAGTAACTCCAAAACTTGGTCCCGCTGATCGTAGTATCAGTCGCCTGCACATAGCGATCACCGCTTCCAATCTGCGTTCTCCATCGCGTGACAGTAGCTCCGTTCGTAGACGCTTGCGAGAATCCGCTCAGGTCAAAGTTGAGGTACTGCGCCGCGCCCCAGTTGACAGCAACGATGATAAGCTTCGAGTTGGCCGCATCGTACGCCGCGACGACATTATCCGAACCGCCATCCAGAATACGCATGCCCTCGCGGATATGGCGCGCAAACTGCGCAAAGACAAAGTACTTCTGGTTCGCCGAGCCAAGCGTACCAGCCTCATTGTCCGCATCAATAACACCCCAGCCGCCGCCGTCAAGAACCTGCCAGTACACCCAACCCGTGGGCCGCAGCCACCGGAAGTCGAGAATCATGTTGCTCACGAGCCTCTCGCCCGTCGCGTCGCTCTCGCCGTACTCGCTGTTCCAGAGACGGAGGCCGCGCGCCGAGGCGAGGGAGTAGACCTTGTCGCGGGCGCCGCTGGCGTACTGGTACCCGTGGACGTTGATCCGCGCGACGTTCTTGAGGGCGGCGTCGCCGAGGTTCTGAAGCGTGGTGACGGCCTGGTCGTAGTAAGACTCGTCCGAGGCGGCGATGGACATGCTGGTGAGGCCGCGGTTGTTGAGCTCGGTGCGGAGGTAGTTGATGATTGTTGCCTGCGTGGCGACGTCAATGTGGCAGCCTTCCTGTGTGCCGTCGGCCTTCCACCAGTTCGCGGTGGGCTCGTTGAAGGGCTCGACGGTCTCGAAGGTGATGCCCCAGTTGTCCTTTGCGTACTTGGCAATGTTGGCCATGTAGACAGCGTGCTGCTGGAGGTTCCACGACTGGATGTTCTCGCTGCCGTCGGCGGAACCGGACGGGTTGTGGTTCTTGGTTGCCCACCACATGGGTGAGTTGGAGAAGAGCTCGAAGCGGTTTGCGCCGCGGCTCTTGGCCTTTTGCATCATGGTGCGCTGGTTCACGTCGACGTCCCACTTCCAGGCAGACGAGGCCGGGTCGGTGTTGGTGTAGTCGACCCAGTGTCCGTCAATCTGCCGAGACGCCATCATCTTGGTTGAGACCACCATGCTCTCGCCGTTGATGCTGTTCGTGCTGCAAGCACCGGCATTGTGACGAACGATATTGAAGCCCAGACCGGGGAGGCTTGCGCCGCCGAAGGTAGTGGTCTTGGTGGTGAAGAAGATGTCGGCGAGGTCATCGCGGGTGCCGAAGCGCTTCGCCCACCAGGCGAGAGAGGTTCCCCATCCCTCCCAGGTGCCACGGTTCGACTTGGCGTCGATGGTGGTCGTTGTGTCTGCAGTAGCGGGGGAGACGGAGGCCAGGCTCACGGCCAAGGCGGCGAGAGTCTTGAAGTGCATAGCTAAGAGATCGAGAAGCCGGGGCCTGCTGGGACAAGGACTTCAGATACAACCCAGGATAGAGGTTCGTCTGCTTCTTATGCTCTCACGATCCTACGCAGCCATGTTGACCTCCTTCCCTCGAGTGAGATGACGGGAGCAGGGGAGCTGACTCGAATGGTGGACCTCGTATGTTGGAGTGCCATCGTAAACGGGGATACGCGGGCCGCGTGATAGCTTGAGTCTCTTGGAAAGGGAAGCTAGAATGACCCGACCTAACGGTTTTATTCAGTGGTAACTTAGCCGGACCATTGGGCGTTCGTCGAAACGGCGGTTGAGACGCTTCTGGGAAACGGAGCTCGATCGGTTGGGTCCGGCACGGATGTGGCGTTGATGGTGGTTAAGGATCACGTCTAGAGCTCGAGCTGTGCCCCGCAGTCTGGGCGAGGGCGCGAGGGGTTAATTCCATGTTTAGAGTTAGATTATCAGCGACAACGTGGTGCCGGGATCCGACGGACAGTATTGACAAATTGTCCGTGAATAGAAGGCGGATACGAGCTCGATTATGATCGCCAAGCTGTATTCTACTACGGGATCGTTAGTCAAGAGTAAGATAGAACGGCGAAGGGGCAGAAGGGAAACAGATCTGATTCATGGCGGGCGTGCCTGAAAATACTGTACAAGAATGCGCAAAGCGATAACAGGTATGGATACGATACCAAACGTGTCCCCTGGATATCCTGAGTCACGACATCAGTCTAAGCCAAATGTGTGGCCCGCCGTATCCCGTTTGCCAATTCATATTCCAACACATCATCATCATCCCTCAAAAGCCGCCAATGCCTAGCTCCAATCCTCCCCGCATATGCGACCCAATGTGCGTGCCTGGAAACCCCCCAAGCTCGGTAGAATGGTATGCTGCGCGGCTAGTCTAGACTGTCTAGTCTGGAGAACGCGGGGAAAAGTGCCATGCTTTGATGGTAACATGCATCGAGAGGTGTCAGCGGCGCAACCCGCTGCTGCGTCTGCATTGGCGGAAGATCATGCAAGCGGCATTTGGTACCTGGTCCATCCGGCTCCGCGATCCGCGGACATGTCATGAGACTTCTGCCAAATTTAGTCGCAATTTGGGGTACATTTGGCCATGGATGAGCTCTCGGGGCTAAAGCGGGACAACCTGCATGTGAAATACAAGTTAGCTGGTTTTTGAGCAAATGTTTGAACGGAGTATCGACATACAGCTCGACGGCGAGTTTGGTAGGAAAACAGATCACGGAGTCGCAAGTATGCTTGATCGCAAGCAATTGTGGTTAATGAGCTCATAGCAAGCTTAGTCATGGTCAAGGCGCATCTGCTTTTGCATTAGAAACGGACAAAGCTTATTCGAACAATCAACGCCAACTTACCTTTGCGACTTGGCGACTGTGTAATCATACAATGTCGCGCAGGCAAGTAGGATAAGAAGAGCTCTTGTTCCCAGGCGAGAGATCAGCAATAGCCCAAAACCATCAGTGTCGAGCCTTTCTCTTTCTAGTGGGCGTCCGAGGGTTATTCAAGCTTGATGCCCGCATGCCCGCTCTAGAGTTCCGCGCGGTTGACTTCTGGACGATGGTCTTTGAGCTAGCGGGAGATTTATCCAGACCAGGTGTTTTGTTAGTCAATCCCAACCGTTCAACAGTGGTAGGCGGCGAATCGATTGGGGTTCCGAGAATGACCGGCAGCCCAGATCCAGAAGGCGCAATGGGTTTGTTGCAGGCCACCGAGGGAGTTGACAAGCCCTCTCGTATTCTGGCTTCAAGCTCGGCCTTTCTGGCAACTTTCACCTTGGCCTTCAGGGCGTAGATCTCCTCATTCAACTTGGCCGTTTGTGCGAACAGGCGCTGATTCTCGGCATCGAACGCGTCCCTTTCGGCCTCGGCTTTCTCGACAGCAGCAAGAAGCTCAGGAATTCTATCGGCCGGATAGAGCACCACTCTCGGCGGATGACCAGCCTCAACAGCCTCGACATCGTCAATGGCTCGCACAAGTCGAGCACTAGCAACAGCAACGCATTCGTCAAGGATAATCGGGGTCGCATTCTCCTCGCGTATTAAGTCTTTGTACAGCGCCGACGTTTCTTTCATCTCGGCTCCCTTCTCGTTGTGGGCGACGATCAAATCGCGAAGCTGCCTATTCGCCTCTTTGTGAGAGATGAACTTCGGTCCCTTGGGGGTGGCTTTGCGGCGCTCGGAGGCCGGCTTGGTAGGGGTCGAGGGAGCCGAGGAGGCACTCGATGAAGCGGTGATGTCCACGTCGGGGGTCTTGGCTCGGCGGGCGCTGGAGAGATCGAGGGGAATCGGGGTGTCGTTGACTGGTGTACCTTCATCGTCCGTCATGATGTCGGTGGTGCCTGTGGTGCTACCCATCGTCGCTTCTGAAGGAGTGGCGGCCGACATGTTCTCGGTAGTTACCAGCGGGCTGAGTTTCTTCGCCCTGGCTCTGAGAGTTGTTTTGAAATCCTCGAACTCTTGAGGTCCTTCAGTCGCGTCTTTGCCGAGAGAAGCTGGACCCGAATCGTCTGCTTCGTAGTTGGAGTTCTGGATGATACGGCCTTCGCGGAAAGTGGATGATAATGCTGGAAGAGAAAGTCTGTTGCGACCGGAACGAAGGCTGCCACGAGTGGGAGATGAGGTATTAGATATTTGGGAGCCAAGGTTGAGGGACACGCGAAGTTTTCGAGTGTTCAAAGGTGAATCTGGCTGATGGCTGGTGATATTCTTGCCAGCAGCAGGAGAGGCAGAAACGGCAGGAGCGGCCGGGGACCCACCACCTCCCATACTTCTGGTTCTAGCCATCGTGATGACAACTTTACCCTCGATCTCCTCCCAACAAAACAACGGTCAGCTCGAACACTCGACTCCAAAGAAACAGCTCGAAGAAATTCGGAGGCGCGGTGGAGGAAACTCACGATCAGACCGGTCAATCTTTCGCCTACCCTTCAGCAGTGGGCTCGTCCCCGATGGCGGCTGTCGTATATTGCGATTGGTAAGAGACGCGTCTTGAAGAGCAGGGACTTGAAAACACCGAATAGAGGTTAGGAGAGCAGAAGTTTTGACAGGTTTTCGTTGGAAGCTTGGATATCCTTTAGTGGTACGAATACTCCCTGGCCTAGGCCTTCGAGACGGGGCAGCGCATCGTGAGATCGCTCTCGATCAGCAAGAAGCTAGAGGCCAGAGAAAGCAATGAGCAGTGAAAATGACAAAGACTGCCTCATAACCTTTCCCACTAGACATCTCGAAAGGCTCCTGATCGGAGTTCATTCCTCCAACAAGCGCACCACGCTCAAAGAAGCAAAGTATGTCCCCTTTCCCATTATCCTTTCACCAAGGGCGTAATCACTGACATAATCCCAGTGCCATTCTGTATCACGCCGACTTTGATACAAAGGATTAAACTACAGATCAAGAGCATGGCGGCTGTCCCTGGATCTCCCTGGTGGCTGCCAGCGGTGACGAGCTCCGGTCTGATCTGGTTAGTTGGATTGCCAACAGCACGATGGGAAAGACCATCACCTTGTGGAATACTCCTGAGGCGGTCTCATCTTATGCTCCAGAATGTGAAACTATGGCAGAAGTCCAGGTCACAAACAGATTCCTGAACATAGGTAACTTGGGTAAGATGACTCTTTTTCGCGATAATATTACAGGATGATGGATGCTAATTCTTCACTCAGGTCGACACATCGACTCTACAACGCTGAGAAGCATTTTTAGGCTCAATTTCAAGCCGTCATATGAACTACCTCAGCTGAGCGACCGGGCCCGATCAATCCCCGGGCCCGGAAACCTGCTTGATCTCCCCGCCTCCGAGCGACATCCTCCCTACCATCGGCGGTGGAGGCACGGTCAAGAGGCATGATAAGCCTCGCATCAACCTGGCAGCGATGCGCAATGTGTCGCTGGTTAGCACTGACCTCCGATTTGCCACGCTGACTGACCCGTCGAGGCGCATGGCGCGCGCAACAATGGATGCTGCCGGAGCGCGCAAGCTCCAGTCCCTTGGAGGCGCGAGCCTCAGTACGCACGCCAAGCATCAGAAGGCGGCCGACGAGGCGAGAGAGAAGTCGCAGCGCAGAGAGGACGAGGATGACGGCATGGTTGAGGGCCCCAGCAACGACGACCCCGGTACCGAGAATACAAGGACAGTTCAAAGTCTCGTCTGCCAACTTTTGGTGGGCCTTGATGACACTTTGAGGTCCACGCTTCACCCAAGCATTCAGCAAGCGGCCGTCGTCTATAGGCCTACCCACGGCCATCGACAGCCAATCTGGTTAACAATGGAGACTCAAAGAACTCGCTCCCGAGATCATCTACAAGCCGTTTTCGTCATCTTCACTGCGGGAGCAGTTCACTACAACCAAGTCGGATGCCGAGCTTGCGAAAGTGATACAAGCAGACCAGCCTTCCTTGATTTTATCAATATCCATCCCCGAGCTCTTGTATCGATGCTGAGGCCATTATCTTCGCTTATCTGTTCATCGAGGGATTGCCCTGACGTAGAGGTGATACGTAATTAAAGAAAGCGGGATTGTGTTGCAGTATAAAAGTCTGTCATACCCGACGGCATGCTCGCTCTACTCAATCTTTACCCTGAGTCCAGAGTCTGACGTAACTTCAGTATTTGTTCTCAGTGATCATCAAACCCTCGGCTCTTACTTCATACCATTTCTCTGATCTAGCACAACTCCAGGTTGTCGACCTGAAGCAAGACTGGGTTCCCTCTATTTTCGTCAACACTAAACGCCAGTCAAAAAGCGTTTTTCATCATGGCTCGCCGGTCGTAACCCATTTGTTAAAGCTAAAGGGTTTGCACATTCCACCGACCCTGCCAGCCCTATCCAACTTGGCTTCATTCGGAGGAGCAAACACCAACGTCATCCATCAGAACTGCCATCAACTGCAGATCTCTCCCTCTAATGTTCTTCTTTTGGCCTGGTAGTCCGATCCTGAGCCAATGTATGGTCTGTTCCTAGATATCATACTACTCCCATTGGTTATAGAAACACGGAATACCTCTCTGTTAAAGTAGTTGGTCGCAACCGGGGAGATCTTACAGCGACAAGTACCCAGACCGAAGAGATGGAGATGTCTGCACGTGAACTGGATCTTCTGATTTATTTTCACCGCGTTTGGCAAGGGCTTTGTGTCCACGGTCTGAGGTATACGGCGGCTGATGATTTCAATATTGATGGCACCTTGATGGTGATTACCCTGTACGCGGCGCTGTTGGCCAAGCTGCAGGACATGTGGAGAGCGTACAAGGCAAAGCTGAGTCCAACGGCTAATACCTCGCTGTTATTAATGTTTAGAAGCTTCTAATCGTTAACGAAAAATGGTATCGGCTGACCACGACTCCAAGACCAGCGCATACGTGCGTGTGAGGAGAAGGCTGAGAAGGACTCTCGGCAGAGGGTTTTAAACTGCCCGAGAAGCGCTCTCAATTGGATCATTAGTCGTTCTACTTCACGACCGAGGACTCTATGATTGAAAGCCATTGTTCGGTCGCAAGGAAATATATGGAAAGGACTTTTCCCCTTATGTTGTCCCGCCCAGCAAGAGCTTTCTCTCGCTCATCAAAATCATACGTGAGAGGCGTTTTTGCCAAAGGCAAAGATATCGACGAAGATTAAGGATTCTCTGCTGAGCCTTGCACCCATGTTAGATAATTACAGCTGGTAGTAATCTACATGAAGCTTTATCTTGCTCAATATCCTCAGCCAGATCAATCGAGCTTAGTACCAGCAGGGAGACAGACGGATGACGTCAAGGACGATTTCCCAGATTTGGAGCCAGAAATTAAAGACTTGTCTACAACTACGCGAAGAGTCGTTGGAGGCATCATGGCTTATCCAGCATGTCCCCGATGCAGAATCCCTCACGGGATCAACGTAACGATGAAGCCAAAGGATCATTCAATTCCGGAGGACACAGGTTTAAGACAAAATAGTCATCACATTCACTCAAGCGGCAGAAAGACGGCTAGGTGAAGTATTCCTGGTCCACGCATCGCCGTCATAGAATACTTGAAGAGAATCGGAAGAAGGAGTTCAATGGCAACTAGATCGCTCCTTCCCATTTATCTCACTTTCCGCGGAATAGGTTCTGCTCGTCCGGCTTCAACTTTTCATGCCGACCAATTATTCAATTTTTCTCTCCACCACCATATCTCTCCGCAGATTCCTCAATCCAAACTTTTCCTCTCTCACAAACAATCAGATTTTCTATCGAGGTAGATAAGCTCAACCATACGAGTAAGTCTGTGCTTTCAAATTTTCTCTCTCCCTTGGCTAACAAAAGGCTCAGAATGGCACCTTCCCTCGAACAAAGAGTCATCGAGGCACTCGAAAAGTGCTCCACCGACACAGACACTCCCTTCGACGATGTCTTGCGCGTCGCATTGAAGGTCACGCAGAAGATGCTTGAGCAGGCCGATCCACCAGACACCGCCGCACCAGTTGTCCCAGCTGTGGCATCTGTCCCTCTCGTCGCTCAGATCCCTCCTCCAGCTTCTGCTCTAGCTCCTAAGCCTACTGCTACTCGAGTTATTGCTTCTATTGTCGCACCTGCCAATCCTGGTACACCTGGCACTCGTCGAGTTCTGCGTACCGCGCTTCCATTGGCGATGGCTTCTGCTCGCAAACAAGCCGCCCGCGAAAGTGTCTCGCCGACCCCGACTGTCGGTGACGAAAACGATGACAGAGACGAGTTCGTCTGCGAGTTCGCTGGCTGTGGACGCTCTTATGAGCACAAGAGCTCTCGCAACCGGGTACGTTTCTTGTCTTCCTAAACCGACGGGACCTTTGCTGACTTCATTTGCTACAGCACTACAAGGTCAACCATGGCGGTCAGCGTCCCAGATCGAAGTAAGGGGCATTCTGCAATTTTGCGGTTCCAGCGTTCGTTTCCGGACAGAATTCTTCGCATAGAGGCCTCGAGTGGTAGGACGCTTGGGACGTCATTCAAGTGCGAGAACTGACTCCAACTGCGCAGACATGCGTCAAGTTTCTCCTTATATCCGTCAGTCATAGGCCACACGTTACCTAATACATCTTGGTTTTGATACATGATCTCCTTTAACATGCTCCCCTCGTTTTCCATATTACTATAGTATTTGTTCCTAATGGAGCAACAAAAACTCGCCACTCCGGGCCCTATATCTCAAGCAGAACCTGGTGTCAGCCGGTGTCATTATATTGGGAAGGATCATTTGTCCTTCGTTTCCTCTGACAGATCAATTGGTCTGTGTCCTGGAGAAGGTATTGCAAGTTGCGACGCTTTTCAGCTGGGTAGACTTCGCCCGACACTATATAGACGCGTGCACCCTTAAGAACAAGAGTCCCGAAACCTTGAGCGACAAGGCGGCGACGCACATAAGGAAACTCTCGCCAGGCTCTCGCCATCTTCAAAGACCTCTGTAGAATAAGCAGTACCTCGCGAGAGGTAAAATGAAATAATCTTGCCTACGGACTGTGCTGGCAAGACCTGCTTCAAAGGGTAGCTTACGGGCCTCCTCACAACACCGTTCCACCCAGAGTGCGGATTGGGGAAGAATTCACCGCTCCCTTTGCATTCTCGAAGGGCATCGCAAACCGGAAAAAGATCAACAACGACGATACTACCGCAAGTTATCACCCATCGGCGATTGTGGTGTTGGCTTCGATGCTTGATCAGACGTATGCCGTGTCCGCGGACATATTCGACAGCCAGAAGCTGATGGCAAGAGTGAAAGGAGAAGAGTCGTAACCAGACACAACGTCATCTTAAGATTGCCATTGATCAACAGCACATAATTAGAAAGTCACTCACAGCGAAGATAGAGAAGAGCCCGAGTACGAGGACAGGAGGCTGAGTGCATGAACGACTGCGAAGACTTCTACGACCCTAGAGACGACCATAAGGCAACGACAAGTTAGAAGAGTCAGACGACCAGGAAGACATACTTCGACTTTCCCTACGAGGAAGACTCCTTCGACTTGGCCATTGAGGAAAGCTGAGCGACTCAATCCAAAATTCAACTGAAAAGTAACTCTGAGTTTCAAATTTCTCAACCACACATTGGCAAGGCTGACAAAAGTAGGATTAGAAAGAGACTGTCAAGACAGAGGAAAGAGAACGAAACTCAAATGAAGACGTTGGTGAGGCCTGCTTCGAACAGCAAGTGCATCACTCGCGCGCGCGAGAGAGAGAGAGAGAGCACGAGGCTGCCCCGATCCCCAGATTCGGTACGTATTTACGACATCAGCAATGCATCAACTTGAATATGCGAGGAACATCAGCCTCTTTCCTCGGGGCGAAGGCTGCAATCAGAATTTTCACCTAGAGACTGCACCTTCCATTCTTTTTTTCCTTCCTTTAGCCACCCACCTGTCTTTTTCCCATTCTTTTTTCTCAATCGCACCTCTCTCACATTCTCTCCCAAGTCAACACGTTCGCTTATATCCCTTCACCGGCACAACAATTGAACACCCTCTTCACCAAGCCATCAATGCATTGCATAGGTAGATAACCCTGCTACCCTGTGATACGTCTAACTGATGGATTGAATATCTAGGATGAAGCACGAAGCGCTAGACCCCGTCAACGAGGGTGATAATGTGAACACCAATCTCGCTGATGCCGATATTGCCAATGCCAGCGACAACGCGAACCTTCCTGCTCCCACTTCCATGGGCTTGGCTAGCCAGAATGTCAACACCTCTCCCGACGCTGTACATGGACAGCCTACTGCTACCGCAACCCAAGATGCTGCTTCAGCTAGCGGTGAGCATCGACAGCTTCATGGCGACGGACGTTCCGCATCAGCCACTAGCGCCAAGAAGCCTGCTGTAGCAGCAGCAGCAGCTCCATTCGGCGGCCGGCTGCGAGTGCGGGACCCTTTTTCTAGCCGACTCGTTCGGGTACCCCAATACCCACCGGGCTACTGGACCCATGGGTGGTACGTCTGTGAGGTTCCAGGATGCGGCCGTCGGTTCACGCTCAGGAGCTCGCGCGCTCGTGTGAGTCACCTCATTACATATTGTTCATCGATATCCTTACTAACCTCACTAAAGCACTACCAGACTCAGCACCCCGTTACGAACTGAGCTCAGGTGCGATGCGTCCGTGAAAATTCAGTACTCTTAAGAGTCAAAGGATGGACTTGGGAGCCAGTCGTCTGGGAAGCAACAAACCCGGCATGGCATGCGGAAACAAGAGCCGAAGATACCTTGCTTAAACTGCAAGGAGCTGCTGGAAAGAGCTCTGCCCAGCAAGAGAATCTCATTATGCGGGCTGCCCAGCAAGGGCATCTCATGTTGGCAGCCCCCCCAGCAAGGGCATCTCATGTGGTGGTGGTGGTGGTGATGGTGATGATGGCGATGGCCGGAAAATAGTTCTATCCTTAGGAATTTCCATATCTTGAACCCTGAGTCCTTTGATAATACACCAGGCCTTGTTTTCTGCTTTACAGCGTCAACACGTTCCTTCATCATTAAACATGAGCCGAATAAAAAAACCTCCGTCGCTTTGATAGGTTTGCTTCGTTCATGTTCTCGAACTTTGATACAGCTTTGTCTGCCATCTGTCTCGGCAAGGAGTCTCATGGTATGTCATGTGATGGACTGTCTTCCTTCTCGACAAGTTCATGTCCTTCTCCTGAAGAATCGTTGGTCTGACAAATTCTCATTGCCCCCTTTCTGGGCCATCTAGATCAAGCGCCTTCTTACGCCTTTATCAAAATCACACGTTCACCGACTGCGGCTGGACATCTCGAGCGGCCTGTACCTGCCCATCTCAACCTCCGCCTCTACCTGGCCTGCACCTGTCCTACTGGCTGACTTCCTTCCCTTCCATATCCCTTAGCGATTCGGTCCCCAACATGACAACAGTCTAGGTGAAATGTTTTCCCCTCTCTCCTTCGTTTTTCTTGTCTTCATTGTTCCTGACTAGTTTTTGTGAATCGAAGAAGCTTTTTCCGATCTTACACTTCCAGGGTGTGCGCTTCCTTCCCTTCACCGCTCTCTATCACCGCCTTATAGCACTATTGCCCTTTCAGTTCTTATCATCCGGCTTCCCTCATATTTATCGGTAGCTTTGAGATCATTTGTGCCATCCCCGTCTGAAGCTCTCACCGTCGCATCTTTGTTCACACATCATAACAATCCCTTTTTTTCATGAGCTTGGCTCTTTCCAAGCCTTTGTCAATTTTCTGGTTTGTCCTAACTCACATCAATAAGCTGCCCCTCACAAAGCTCACACACATCAGGCACTTCCAAACACCGCTGTTTCTCTTCCTCCAGCCAAGCATAACCAGCAAAAACAAACTTCGGTAAGCTCCCTCGATTCCGTTTTTCGTCTGGCCCACCAAAAATAGAATGATTCCATCTGGAAACATTGAGTGTCAACATTTTCCAACTTCACAGGACACAATCCAAAGTGCTTCAAGACTGCTCTAGGTACTATAGAACAGCTATTGCCGCCTAGATCTAACGACATCGGATATCTTCTCGCCGGTACGCTGCCCAGGATCCTCTTTAGCCGCAACTCGTGTTGCGGGGTTCTTCTCCGGCTGGGTCATCTGCTCGAACTATTCTTTTTGCGGAACTCCTCAAGAACCTTAGTTATATTTCCACCTCCATCATTGCCACTTCATTGCTCTCGTCACAATACAAAATAGCAATGATGGAGGGGCAAAGGCTCCCCACCGCGAGACTGGGGGTGCTGAGGACCATACAATTGAGTTGCAAGCGCTGCTGCAAAGGGCTGGGTAAGGAAATATCTTCCTACCATGATTAAGAGTTCAGAGGATCTCAGCCCGCTAACAGTTCGGAGGGAGCGTATAGATGTAGCTTCTTGTGGCAATCTTAATGAGTTCTCATCTCAATAATCACGTGAAGACGAGGGTAGCATTCGAGCACCAGCAGGCTGATATTCTTGTCATCAAGTATCAATAACAGCACAATGGCTTTTGATGATCACTAGAGCGTCGCTTAATTCGCCAAGAGCACCAGTACCTCTTTCAAATTTGGCAGCCTCCCTGTTTCTGTTCGGCCCAGCCCGGTGCTGATGCTCCTGAACAAAGAGATTATTTCCCAGAGTCCCGTCCACGAATGCCAGACACAGACTCAACTCGACATCAAGGACCACCCTTGAGTGGGTACTTGTGTGTCAAATCTGTCAGGGACTGGAAGGGAACAGACAAGGCGAATTGGAAAGGCAGATTATGCAACGGGACCAGATGGTAAGCGCTTATAATATCACCCGCTCAGTCACGAGTCACGAGGAAATGAGCTAACGCGCCAGGTCATTAGGAAGTGGCTATGACCTTAATTATATTTCTTTTGGAGGCATCAACAATTATTCCGCCGCCCTAGGGTGCAAATTGTTGCACCATTATTTGGATGCTTTTGCGACAGTAACATCATCTCCCCAGAGCCCCTCGAACGCTCGAGCATGAACTCACTCTCGCAACCCTCAAAGAGCAGAATACCCCGAATCTCGCCCTCCACGCGCTCGTCATGCGTTTGATGACGTCCTCGGTGGGATACTTCTGATATCATACTCGTTTAACCTGCCAGATCCGGCTCCTCTTCTTGTTGAGACCGTTCATTGAAATGAAGGGGTTCAATCCCACATATCATCCCTCACGATTACGATAGCTTCAGTCATCAAGACGACGATTATTCAAAGACAGATTTCGACTTTACGGTCGAGAATACTGCGCACTCTTTGCAGGCCGTGAGACAAGCGAGATCTCTTGGATACTCGAAAGCTTGAGGGTTGATCGGCTTTCAAGTTAATTGAAACAAGCTGTCTAGAAGACGACCATTCAGTTGTGTTCTGTTTCCCTTTTTTCTTATTTTAGATCACCCGTTTGGTTGAAAGACAACGCCCAACTTTCAAAGAAATTTCGTCATTGTTCTGATTTAGTTTTGCTGATGCTCAAAGCTGGCAACGTGTAGCCATTTCGCCCTGCGCTCAGTCTAGTGGTAATAAATCTCAGGCGGGTTGACAGTAGGTCACTCTTAACTTCGCTTCCTAGTCTTCATTTTTCCATGTAAGCAACATTGATCGAAGCTTTCATTTTTCATAGCCTTTCCAACGAGCAGCCATCAACAAAGATACGTGTTCACAGTTTCACGAGTACTGAACGACCAAGTTGTCTCCGGCAGTCTACCCCCACTTCATTGCCCTCAGCCACATATAATTCGGTCCCCGTTTTCGTTGTCCAAGAGCTTCTCCTGAGGTGGAGTTGTGCATTCAAGCTCCTATTCTTCACAATTCTCCAATTCATTATCATTATGTCTTTCTCTTTCCGCCACTACCTCGCCGCTGGCATCCGTGGTATGCGCGTCGCCACCGGCACATCATACGAGGATATTTTCGATCAACTCTTCCAAGCTCTCAACGTTCTCCGTCGCGAAGCCGCTCAAAGCGGCGACATTCGGCCTTACTCTGAAGAATACTTCCCAGACGACATCTATGACCCGCCAAGTCCCCAGTATGTCAACCTCACCGGTGTCCCCAGCCATGTCTCTTCCAGCTCTGGCCCAGCTCAGCCAGGACACCAGATCAATATCCCCATTCGCCTCAGTGGAACTCCCCAGCCCACTGCATTCGTTCAGCCCACCGTCTACCCCACCGATCCCAACGCCCCTGTTCCAGCTGTTCATAACCCTCCACCCGAGCCCGTCTATAACCCGCACACAGAAATGCCGAGAAGAAAGGGCGACGAGGGAGACAAGCTCTGGCCCTGCGAGTACGACGGCTGCGATGCCTCGTACACCCGCCGTAAAACGTTCCTTGATGTAAGTCTACTTATTCCCTGATTCCTTCCTTGAGCTGAAATGCTAACTTGACTTCACAATAGCACATGGTGGCTAAGCATGGGTATCCAGCCCCGCCCAAGAGACCCTCCCGGCCCAAAACTCCAGCCAATGCCACAGCTTCTAGTAGCGGATAGGCGTAGGTTGGTCCTTCCGGATCCGCTCCTCAGAATGAAGAGGATGTCAATATGGAGGACTAGTTTTTTCAACTTCCGGCTTTATGCAATTTGTATAAGCTTATTCGCTTTTCCGTCATTGGGGCTCAAAATTTGTTTGAATCTGAGGTGCAATTTTGGAGCTCCACCGAAAAGAAGCATCGTGTGGTATTTCTTTCAGACGTTTTGCTGAGACCGACCTTAGCTTATAGCCTTACGCATCTATGCTTGTCCTTATATCTTCATGCGATTCATCATAACCTTTTTGCCTTGTGCTGGTAATAGTATCGCCCTTCAATAAGCTCATAGTCAATTCACCTATCGAAGCCAGGCCCGCAAAATTGGCTTTCGACTGAAACACCTATTAAGCCCACTGACAACTATCAAAGCTTCTGCAGGCTTGTGCAAAGGTGATCAAGTCATCTCCTGTACCCTTTTTGCACGAGAGAACCTGAATGCGGAAACCTACCGACTACTCTCCTAGACTCTTGCTACTCTTGCTACAATCAGTATGATTGTCAGAAATACCGCCATACTGGGCTAAACACTAGCCGTTCAAAAGTCCAAGTTGTAGCAGAAGGACCATGGAGATTGGAACCCTCATGTTATCTTTATAGTCGAAGCTGGTCAGCTTCCCGAGTCTCAGTCCTGGATCCCCATCGCTTTTAGTGAGCCTCGTTGGGTTATCGCGACGGGAGATGGCAGTGAATAATTCGCATTTCCGAGATATACTAAGTCTTGTTTGCCTACTCAGCGGAAATGCCAGGATTGCAGCGGTTGATTGAGATCTTGTGATGCGGAAAGCCGACTTTCTCGAAGCGGCGGAGCTGAGATAGTTGCGAACCAGGGGCTTCAAACGACGATATCTTTGGCTAATGAAACTTTTGCAGACAATGAGCATACCACTCAGCGTCTCGTCAATGCTATAACCTCTCATTCGCAATTGGAGACCTGGCTCGGTTACAGTTGTTTCCCACAGTCGAATAGATTATACCTTCATGTTCCGTTAGTCGTCCACTTGTTTTCTCTAGGTAGTAGATCAACTCCTGACCTAGGCTGGTTTCCGCCTGATTCAGGCATTCATGTGTAACAGTGCTGGTCTGGGAGCAATGGTTTACGCATTATTTTTGCATGAGTCCAGCCCTGAACTGCCGCCTAGGAGTGGCTGAGGAAGTTTCCAGGCTACTCAAAGGATGAAAGAGAGATTTTACAAAGCGATCTACTTTCAGCAGTCCACTGGCCAAAGAGCAGGCACAAAAGTCGAGACAGCCTCCAGAAAGGCAGCTCAAATTGATACCACTTACCTTCTACTACTCCCCTCATTGTCCTATCCCTGGAACAAGATTTATCAGCTGGCGCCGTAAAGCAATCCTTAGACAGCATGTCTTTCTTCCAGGACCCTGTTTAACTTCACAATGATATTGTCTTCACTCTCTCTGGCGAGGTGTCAACAAAGACGAATTCTTCACTCACGGATATTGAGCATTAAAGACTATAGCTAATCCAAGAAGTGCGAGGATCAATGCTCACAACCGCATTCATCAAATCATTAAGGACCACTCCAGAACCAATCAATCATGACGTTTGCTATCGAGAATGCCTTCGCCCTCGCGATCTTAGGAGAGCACAATCCAGAAACTACAACTACCAAGGACCTCATCTTGAGAACAGACTTGGCCTTTTGGAGGGTTAGCAGCCGTCTCCTCGAGGGCAACACGAGCCTCCCCAACGCTGACGCTGACATTTTTGAGGGAGTCTTCACTCTTCCCATGCTCGGTAAACGTGCCACCTCGGGCCTCGATTGGAACACTCTGGTCGCGACCGTCTTGGAGGTCTATCTCAGCATCCGCGAACGCCTAATCCGTGGCGAATGCATCCTCCCCTCTCCTCAAAGCACCATGAGAGCCAGTAGAATCGATCCATCTGTTTCCATCCTGTTTGGTACTGGACCGACGTTTCCTGCTGCTGAATCAGACGTCGGCGAGTTTCCAGATAATATCCTCAACGGTGAGTATGAAGAGTATGATGAAGACGATCGTAAGGCTGGCTTACCTAACTCCGGTCCCATCAATAAGGGCAAAAGGCCACGAGAGGAGGACGGCTCCTCTCCTTCCCCCAAGACGAAGAAGAGAGCAAGGAAAGATAAAGGAAAGGGGGTGTAAGGAGTTGTAGTTTCGTGTCGTTTTAGCAGAAATGGGGAGTATGGTCACTTTTATCTACGTCTATTACTGTATATGATTCAAACCGATCTCCTTCTTCAAGATATTGCTGTCCAGTTTACATGTCGATTGAAATACATCGAGTGTACCAGAGTTCAGACATCCCTTCTTCCTACCACCGCTTCCCTACTTTCAGAGTGGGGAACAGTCAAAAGTTCATATACCGATATAACCCCTATTTCTCGGCACCACCCATTCTATTAATCATCAGCACCCCCAAGCTTCTGATTTTCCACTCCTGGCCTGCCAGACGTTGCTGGCACGGTCACTGCACCTACCAGACGCCAGTATACGATCGGTTTCTGATCCATCTTTCTTGCACTCTTTTCTCCTGGAAGACCCAATCTCCTAAACTACCTTGTAGAGGTAACTTTTGATTCTGATAATGAACGAAGAAAGCCGCTGGGTGTACTCATAAGTCCCTTCGCTGCTAGAGCGTCAGACCCGGGGCCCTCCTACGAATCTACAACCTCGCCAGGATAGCTGTGCTGATAGGACTAGAAACAGTCGGCAAGCTTAGCCCTTAGAAACTGACGACTGCAGAAAGAGAGCACTGGGCGCCCAAAGTGTCCTTCACGTCCTTCTTGGACAGCAGTGCGGTCCGGCAATGGAACAGATTTTGCCTAAGGCGAACTGGCCCATCGATGTTGACAGCATGGATGTAATCTTCAAGTGTGGTGAGAACCCTGGCTGGTTCGTAGACAAATACATCAATCGCCAAAACTCCGCCGTAAGTTACATATCTCATAGCCCTGGCTCTACTGTATTAGACCATAACTGACATCCTTTTCTCCAAGTATAGCCTCCAGATTGCTCGTGCGCCCCACGATTCCCACAATAACTAGAATTCGGGTTCAAGATGTGAAACTCATATTAGCAACCTACACGACTACTTCCGTCCGATGGGATGTGGCTAGGCGATACTACCACTAGAGCCTCTGCGAGTCAAAGGAGAAGTTATACTAGACCGAAAAGAACTCGAAAGGCCTTAGAAAGCTTGCAGAGAGCTGCGCGCGGAAGAACAGATAGTCGACCGCATAGAGGTCTGTCTCTTCCCTTATACGCCATCATCCTCCTCGTATCATTCGTTACTTTTCGGTAGGCATAGAGCAGGTTCTCGTCTCTTGTCATTAGTCAGAACTATGAGGTGTGGCCTGCATCGAACCAGCCAAACTGGCCGAGTTGGTCATCTGAAGTTTGCGAATAACCACAAATCTTTTTGTTTATTCCATAACATCTTCACCTGTGGCTCGCTCCTTCCTTCTCTTTTAATCGTCAAGCAGTGTGAGCTTGCTCCCTTCTACTCATAGAAACTCTACTTCACGGGTCCAGCAGTCAACTTACCTTTTCCACGTCCACCCATCTACCTGCCGCCGTTTTTGTTTACGCAACAAAACAAATCGAACGCGTATGTTTCCCTATCCCCATTTCTTTGAATCTAATTGTATTTTCCATCTAAGCTAACAGATCATTCCAGAACAATGTCATTTCAGCTGGAGACTAACCTCGCACGTGCAATTCACATGCAGCAACTCGCTACCGGCGCAACCCGTAACAGTATTCGGGATACTACCGTGGCCGCACTGCGACTTATTCAGCAGCGATTTCAGCGTGGGGACTATGAGCTTCCCAGAGCAACGAGAACCTTCGAGCGACAGCTGACCCTGGCAATTCTCATGGAACAAGACACCAGAAACCTCGGCCTCAATGCGCTGATTATACGTACAACGACAGCTTGGGGTCGCATCTCTGGTCGCCTCGAGCAGGGCCTCTCCCCCTTTCCTGAGCCTTACCATATCATCGCCGACGACGGAGATGAAGATATCTCAATCGAGGAGCGTCTTCGCAGAATGGGACTCGATCCCAACAACTTCGACCTTACCGGCATTCGCTCTGACGCCCCGTGCAGCTCTAACAACGGCAACAACGTTGCCACGGCCCAGCCTCAGACTGACATGGGTTCCACCATCGGTACAGGAGGAATTATCTCCAGTCAAGCTGCTGTCCTTGCTCGCGCAATCGTCCAGACAGGCAAAGCTGCCGTGACTGGGAAGCCCCGGGGCCGAAAGCGCGGCAAAGATATGTACGGGTGTGATGTTTGCAATCAGGCGAAGAGGTACACCTCTGCGTGCACTCTCTACAGAGTAAGTTCAGCTAAGCCACAACCACAATTGACCTTAGAGGAGAAGCTGACATGAACGTAACAGCACAAGAAGAGTAAGCACGGCATTCCCACACCAGGGGATGTCCGCAAGGAGAGGAAGTTGGCTGCAGAGGCGGCTCTTGCAGCTCAGGACAATGCCGAACAGGGTGATGGTGGCGAAGAGGATGAAGACGCAGAGGCGATTGAGGAGGTTGATGAGACTATGAGCGGGGATACCGGAGACGAGAGGGACTTGGAGTGATTCCATGCATACAATTCTGAAGAGAAACAAGACGAGACATGATGTATCAATGGAAAGGCCCCAGTGAGCACTGAATGAGAACTACTCGATGCTTCTTGATCTCGCTTTAATTAATGGCCTTCCCTTTATGAGACAGAGTCGTCTATACACCGTGATTTGACTGAGCGGACGGGTTAATATACCATAGGCTCCTTCCTCGACCTATCCACCGAGTTACTCGAAGGCGGTGCCTATTAGACAGCACCGCTCGGCAAAGGCAGATATCAAGGACAAGACCCCTCTCTTTTCACAAAAGGTTTAGCTAAGAAAGAACCGCAGAAACAATCTCTCTCAATCAAAGAATTTTCGATAGTCAAAG